TGACTTGGTCTCATTCCTTTCCCTTGGGCCCAACTTTCCAGAGCCACAATTTTATTTTAAACTTGGTCAAAGAAGTTTGGTTTTAATTATGTGCCTTCCTGAACTCCTGATAACTTTCAAGTTAAAAGTTTTTGTGAGGCTTTTTCTAAGTCAGTCTCTGGTGTTTTGAGAGCCCTACACATTTCACAAATCAAAACCAGCTTGATTCCTGTCCCTTTCCAGGATTGCCATCTGAATTAGTGATGATCTTCGCTCTGTTCTTTTATTAGAAACAGGACTCAACCAATGAGATTATGATGGGAGAATTTCAAGAAGTATGAAAGAAAGGAGCCTGCTTCTTGGTTTGGGGGCTTTAAAAAAAAAAAAAACAAAAAAACCTCTGGCCTATCTTAGCTTATCATTCTTTTTACTTCTACTTTCTGTATTCATATTGGTTTCTGAACAAATTTTCGTCATATCTGCTGAAGGGTCCCATTCACAGTATCATCCTCACTTGGGCCACAAAAGCTGTGAAAATAATTCCTTCTTTGAGCAGTTTTTATGCATTTCAGACACACCAGAGAATCTCATCTTAATGGCCATCATTCATTTGTCTTCAACAGAAAGTAGAGCAACAATCAATCTTTAACAAAAAAAAAAAACCTTTATGGAAGTTTCTCCTAAAACTCCCTAACGAGAGCATATGACATATAGCATTTGTGTTTTAACCTGCATATTGGATAGAAGACTTATGCGTCATGTCAGAGTGAAGAATACAGGAGTATTCTGTTTTTGAGACAGAGAGAGCCTTTCCTAGAGCATAGGTGAGAGAAACCCACATTCCTTACCATCAAAAGACCATAGATTTAACTGGCATCCTCAAGCCCCTCTATTCTAGGACTTCCCTTTTTTCCTTCCCACAAGGCTGGCCTCTTAGAATCTTCCCTGGTTGAGTTTTATGTTCATTTCCCTATCCTATGTTTTACTTCCCTCTTATGATGTCACTTCTTGGTTTCTGTTGGAGAACCACCACTATCTTACCCCCCCTTCCATTTCACCCCCCCCACCCTGCCCCCAACTCCAGATTTACTCAGTAGTCTCCCTGCAGGGATGGCAGTCAGCTTTTTGAATGAGAAGCAGTGTCTGCATAACAGTAAAGTGTGTTTGATTGACCTTAGTGTGAGTGATTGTAGGATAAGAGGAAAAACTGAAGTCAGGTCTCCTCTACCAATTCAGCAACTCTGCTCCTTTTACCCAAGAAATCCAAACTTTTCTCTTTCTAAATCTAAGTAGTAGTTTGTTGTTGGAGTTTTTGTTTGTTTGTTTATTTTTTGTTTGTTTAGTCAGATCCCAGATTGTCTCGGATATCAAGAAACCAAGCAAAACAATAGTTTCTAAAAAATCAGCACGTGTGATGGAAAAACCTAAGCCATTTTATTAGAAACTGAACCCTAATTCCTGTGTACTTTAAAGCTAACTTGCCCACCAGCCTTTAAGAATGCTCTCCTTAGGCTGAAAGACTTAAAGGAAAATTAGAGTGAGAATACCATCTCCTTTAGAAACCCCAGTTAGAAACCCTAGTTAGAAACCCCAGAACTTTTATAAAAATTAACCCCAAAAGAAATCGATAACACAATCCTTAGCATGCCTTTAAAAATGATAAATGACAGACGGTGATATATGCTTTTAATTACTCCTGGCAGAAGTAAGAGTGTCGTTCACCAGCTTCTTAGGTGGCTATCTCTAGGAAACCCTCCCCTGCAGTATGCCTGTAGGGTCAAGAGCTGGTGTGGCAAGTCTAAGTCTGAGCACCATTAGCATTCCCTCCCTCCACTTGCTGTCTCATCTGTGGAAAAATTAATTTAGGCCTCTTGAAAACCCTGTGGAATCTACTTTTTCATATCCAGGAGCCCTGATGTCTTGGTAGTGCTAACCTATTTTTTTGTAGTTTTCAAGCATTCATATTTACAGCAGCAAACTCTCAGTGGAGGCCATATGGTAGAGACAGCCATATTATACAACCACCTATCTGTCTGAGAATTTCTTGGGTATGATGAATGGCAGGGCATAAATTACTTCATGGTGCTTCCAGAACATTCTAAATATAAAGAGTTAATTATACATCATTCTTATGGGAGTAAGTCAATGAAGATGATTTGTGTCTATGTGTATGTGTGTGTAATGGTAAGACTAATACCCAGTAGATTCCTAATTTCTCTATTTTAGTGGAAATAAAGGCTGATTCTTCACTGTAGAACCAACTACCATAGTCCACACAGCAGAATTTAAAGATAAAGGTGTAACTAAAATCTTACCCAACAGATTAGATATTTGCGAAGAGGAAAAGCAAATTTAAGGGACATCTCACATTTTAGAAGTAACAAACTCAGTAAATAGATTTGATGATCAGTAAATTAATCAGTCCTTGGTCTATGCACATGTGCAGAAATGAGCTTATATTTGAGTAGGAAGAACAAAAGAGGCTCAAAGCAGACATTTGATTATAAGTGGGTCATTTTTCCATGTCTAACATTTCCAAGTGGAACATTCATCTTTGGAGAGAGTGTCAAATCGTTCTCCCACGTGGATGGTAGAGTTTGAAAAAGGCTATTCCGCCTTTAGGGAGCAAAAGAAAGTAAATGATGTCTAATTTATTGTTTCATATGATTATGTCTCAGTTCCCTGCACCAAGGCTTGAACTTGCTACCATCAATAGCCAGTGTAGTATTTGTATGACTGAAAAATAGAAGAGGAGAAAAGGGGATAGGAAATGTAAAGAGTGAACTTCCTCCAATTATCCCATTTAATTTTTACCACAAAAGTAAGCGGTACCTTGCCCAAGGTCACACGGCTGGATGATGTCAACAGAAATTAGAACTCAAGTACAGCCAAGGCCATGACATTCCTTCCTGGAAGCATTAACAGTTCGGTTCAATAAGTGTTTGAGCACCTGCCATGTTCTAGCAGCCCGGACACTGAGGCTGTCCCTGGGAATGTATTAGAGTGACTGGGTCACAGATAAGGACCCTAACTATGTTGTTGTTCTTTTTTAAGTAAATGTATAAGTGTATATGTTTATATTTCTCTAGTATCATCTTCTCAGAGCACTTTTTTTCCAGGAAGTTTCTTCTCTGGAGCCCTCTGATGACCCCTGTCATCTCCATGGCTCTTGCTTCCATGCTTTTCCTGCTTCAGATGAGCATGTTAACGTGTTCACAGAGCTCTCCTGGCTCTGTCATGCAGCGTATTGTTGTTCAGCTTATTCTTCTCGGCACCCTCCTGGCAGGGCTCTGCACTCATGGGCTCTTATACTCAGTAGCCCTGGTGTGGAGTTCATGCTCAGTATTTGTAAATCCTTGGCCTGTCTCCATTCACAGTTTTCCTAAAGTATGAATTTTAACTAGCTCAGATGCCATAAAGCTGGATCTTAACAAAACTAGTGAGTTTCACCAACAATCTAATTATCTTGGTTGTGCTTGAGTAACTTGAATCATTTTTATATATGAAGTGTTTCTTGAGAAGTGATTAAAATTTAGTTTCTATTTTGAAACGGCTTTAAGTAGGAAGGGGAAAGAACCTATTTGATGTTGAAAAAGCAGTAATTGATAATGTGGGCTACGTATGACTCTTACCGGTGATCAGTTATAAATGTGAGGAAGGAAAATTCCTGAATTCCAGATTGCAGATTTTAGGATACTCAGCTCCAAGTGGCTGAGAATGTTAAAATACACTGTATGCTTTTCTTCCTGACACCCCCATCTCAAATGGGGTATGTTTTCATGTCCAAAAGGCTTTGTTATACAAAAACCTTTGTACAACAGAATCACCTGGGCACTTTAAAAAATGTGTCGGAAGGCCCTACTCTAGATCTATTGAAGAGAATCCTCGCCCTCAGGATTGAGGTGAGGCATGTATACATTTTGAAAAGCATATGAGAGAATTTTGATGAATGTTACCCCTGGTTTAAAGAGAGAATTCCATGGAGGAAAGTCAGCTTTTCCCACGTTTACCTGCTCAGCCCCTCTTCAGTCAGAGGCGCCGGCTGCCGTACTTCCGCTAGACTGTTGAGAGTGTGGTTCGTCAGGCTGTGGTGCTGGAATAAAGCATGGCTTCCAGGGACTGCGTCATGCTTCATGTGAGCAGCGTCGTTGAGCAATTCCTCGGTAGTTCAAGGATTCACTATCCGCTTTGTGGGTTATTGGCCCTTGTTTTTCTTATTCCTTCTTTTCTCTGCCTTGAGGAGTTTGTTGTCTTTTAACACTTCAAGAGCAAACATAAGTACATTCCAATACTTGTTTTTATTTGCCTTACTTTTAATTTTAAAAAATGAAGAGGGTATAGGTCATTTATAATTAAAAAATAAATGTAGTGCACAGACGTAATCATTGCTTATTGTTCAGTGTGTTTACAGTGGCCATAGATCATCAAGTTTACAGTTTGTATCTATAAAACTTCTTTCTTCAGAAAACTCAGTACTTTCTTACTCTTTACATTTTACCAGCATCCCAGGGACTATGCTGGTACTTCCCTCACCTTCCCCTTCTTCCCTCCTTTACCTTCACTAGAGATCTGAAAGAAAACCAGGAGCTCTGAGTTTTAATATTTGTAAATTGCATTGTTCACAAAGGATGGAGTTGGTGATTTGTAAGCTGAAAAAAATTAATAGAACGAAGACTGAGAGCCAGAGAGGCTGAAAGTCACAAGAATGTCACTCACTTCTAGGGCACCAGGAAAAGAGGGAGCAGGGGGCACAGCAGTTTTTATCATTTACATTTTGCTGACTTCCAGTTTAAAAAGATGCTCTCCCCAATGCAGCTAATCTGGTGAGTCATGGAATGCAGAGACGTATGAGCTAGAGCTAAGCAGCCTTAGTCCAGGTGAAATGCTTTTCTTAAATTGCACTCCTCTCATAGTGAACGTGAGACATCTTATTTTTAAAAAGTATTTATAAATGCAAATAGTAAAAATCAGTCCCTTACTAATGCTGTTTTTTTTTTGTTTTTGTCTCCTCCTTTCTCTAGCATGAAAGACTTTCTAGGTAAGAACTTTTCCCTGTGTTTTATGCATGCTTGGTACGTGTGAGTAAATGCAGGTCTAATTAAACTTTATATGGTTTAGTAGTATTTTTCACGCCCTTTTCTCCCTTTTCATTTCCACAGCCCCCACAATAATTCAGACTTATTATCTCCTGCCTAAAGTGATACTGTAGCTTTTCAGCTTCACTTCCTGCTTCTAGATTATCCTCTTTCCAACTCTGCCACTACATTAATTTTCTAGAGCACTAGTGTACCAGGCACTGTGCATGATGCAGAGGAAGCAACATGAATAAGGCTCTTAGCGTACAACCAATGAGATAAATAACTTGAATAAGATATAATAATAAGTGCCAAGATAGAAATGTGGGCAGGTCATCTGAGCAGAGACAAGAGGCGAGCAACCTGATCTGATGGTTCAGGGAGACTGCAGTGCAGAGCAGATGCCTGACCTGAGACGGGGTTTAGATACTGACAATTAATAAGAGGATCAAACACAATCCCTTATACCTAGAATAGTGCTCATTAATAAAACATTAAATGAACTAAAGACCTATTTTGCAATTGCTGGAAAAAATGCAAGCCGTATTATCAGAGTCTGGGGGATGATCCTCTATAATTTTTCACCTAGAACATAAGGCTGCAAAACTAGTTGATCTTCCTGAGAAACAAAATGAAAATAGGAGACACTGTGGAGTCAAAATTTCTCCTCTCTCCTTTCCGGCTCTTCCTCTGATGGAGAAGTTAAGAGGAGATTGAGGAAAGATGTAGTTCTGGGATGGCATAGGACAAATGTGTCTCGCAGTTTGTGTGGTAATTGAAATGGTTCTATGTTAATATATTTTACAGTTTACAAGCTTGCATGTGTCTTCCTGTGCTCACCATCTCACCAAGCACCAGTTGAGGATAAGTAATTTACTACTAGCCTAGCAGAAAATTAGTTTTGCAAAAATGATAGAATGGTATTTTTGCTATAGTTGACTTTTTGTGAAGTCAATTTGTGAAAGAAGACTTTCCCTACAGGCTTCAGAATATGCTATAAAACTGCAGTTATTAAAACTGTGGGGTACTAATTCAAGATAAATCAAAAGATTGATGAGACACTATAGATAAGTCCCCAAATGTCTAGTATGTAAGGTGACCTTTCAAGAGCCCTTCTGCTCTTCAATAAGTGCTCATTGGGGCAATTATCTACTTGGGAAAACAGAGCCTTCTCTAAGCCATACCAGAAAGCAAAACAACAAAAAATACATTTGGGGTAGACAGTTTTTTATATATTTTTTTATTTTATATATTTTAAGAGAAAAATATTTTATGACAAAAGTAGTAGAATACTTATAATCTTTATATAAGAAAGATCTTCCCAAGAATGATACCATGAAGGTAAAAATTGTCTGATTGTAGAAATCTCTGCTAATAAAAGATGCCATAAACAGAGCCAAGAAATGGGGGGTGAAATTTGTAACCTGTGTTAGTTTTTGAAGCCCCACTATATGGGAGCCTTCTCTGATATAACAAGAAAGATCAACAAATGCTCTATATAGGCAATTCAGAAACATAGCTAAATAACCAAAGATATGAAACTACCTGCCTAATTTTAAAACATTAAAATTAATGACAGGGAAATATTATATTTCTCCTATTGGATTAAAAAGGATTAACCTTCCTGGAGGAAGATTTTTACTCCTTGACTAAACAGCTTTTCTTCTAAGGTTTTGTCCTAAGACAATAATTGGACAAGTGCACTAAGATTTATAGACATCCTTTCATTGTCGCATTATTTATAGAAGCTAGAAAATTCAAAGCAATGTGTCTGTCAAACAGAAGATAGTTATAATAGCAGTACAGTGCAAGAGAATACAGTCATTAAAAAAAAATGAGAGAAATCCATTTTTATTTACCTGGTAAGATGCCCACGATCATAGTGTTGAAGTGCAGGAGTTAGACAACAGTATGTATGATTTTCTTTACAGAAATATTTTTCACATATTTATGTGTTTAACATGCTGCCAGGATATAACTAAACAGTTATTTTGAGGGCAGGATCCTAGGGTGAATTTCATTGTTTATTTTAGACACTTTGGTATTATTTAAATTATTCTACAAATATGTATTGCTTTTGTAATCAGAAAAGCCAATAAAGAGACTTCTATTTATAATTCTTTTAAAAGAATGTTAAGGACTTGGCATATAAGAAAAAAGTGTCCATTAATGTCAACGAGAGCTTTGTCTATCCTCTCTCTGAGTCACCCTATTGCTCCATTACCTCTCTTAATACTGAAGTCCCCCAGCCCCAACCTCGTCCACAGTCACCACAGGGCAGAGGCATCATCTGGAAGTTCCACAGCTGGGACTCTTCAAACCATCTCAGTTTGGGGACATCACGCTCTGCGGGGCTGGTTTGTACAGAGCAGTTTCATGTGCCACGTTTTAGTTTGGAAAGAGCAAAGTCAAAAGTTTAAACCAATATTAAGTTTCAGAATGACATTTGTACTCTTCAGCAAGTCGTTAGGTGAGAGACAATTCCCACTGGAAATAAGACCACCATCAGCTCTAAGAACTCACTTGCTAAAAAGATATAGAAACTTAATCGTAGGCATAATAGTCTTGATGTATTGAATAGAATATAGATAAAAGGGTAGGAAACTAAGTGTTTTGGCACTGTGGTGGTACCCCTGAGATGTCTGTGTTTCCCCAGGTGCACCTGAAGAGCAAATACGCCTTGTCCTTGTGGCTCCCCCATATCCCCCCATTCATTCTCTGGCTCAGACCTCCAAGTCCACATGTTTCTGATTCATTGGCAGTTCATTGGAATCATTTTCCAAGAGCCATTGAGAGCCAAGAAATGTTTGATTTAAAAAGCATGCTCTTAAGAGAAGTTGTTAAACCCTAAACTAATTTGAAAAGCTCTAAGATTGAAGTCAGCACATGGGTCCAAATCACCAACTTTACACATCATCTTCATTCTTGGCAAATAACAAGCCCTTCTCAAGGTTGATGCAGCCCAACTCTGCGCCCAGGATGCTGCTGAGGGAGGTCCAGGAATGTTGTGTAGTCTCTGACCTGAGCTCTCAAATGCTGCATAGGAATGGAGCAGACCACCTTTAAGCTCAACTTCGCATCATTTCTTTGTTCTCAAAACCAATTTTTGTCTTTAATTTATGTCCACAGGTTGGAATCAGGAAGTAGTAACCCTACAACCAGCGATTCCTACAGTGAGCGGGCCTCGGCCAGAGCGCGCCGGGAGGCCCGGGAGGCCCGTCTCGCCAGCCTATCCAGCCGGGTAGAAGAGGACAGCAACAGGGATTATAAAAAAGTAGGGTCTCTTTTCAGTTTCCTGTTCTTGGGTTACAGCACATAAACCTCTGAGCCTTTTCCCTAGGGTAGAAAAATAAGTGTACTTCCAATGAAGCAGAAGAAAAGGCAGTTACATGACAAATGGTGGCAACTAATTCCTTTCAGCTTTCTTGGCTTGCTCTACCTTTCTACCATCTAAATGAAGACTCATTCATATGTTGCTTTTTGTACAGTACATATACCTAGAGTCAGCTATTTAGAGGTATAGATGAAAGTGTTCAGAATTATAAAAAGGGAAATTAAAACAATGCTGTCTGTCTGAGCCCAGAGAATCATTGGGAAAACTGATATTTTTTAACAGACTCATGGTTTTAATGAACTCCATGAATATCAACTACATACTTCTTGGTGACAGCAAATAATAATTTGGGTTTGGAGGAGGTTTAAATCACTTGTAAAGTCCATTGCCTTCAGTTCTTACAGAAGAGTGCCTAGCTCCTGGGGCAGACTTGAAAACCGTCCCTTTCAAGTTCTTGAGATGCCAGGAAAAAACATTTTTGTTAAGAAAATGTTTGTTCTGTTAATGTTTGGTTAAGTAGAACTTGACTAAAATCAATTATAGGCTAGGCTGACTCTAAAGAGAGAATTCTCTTTTGTGTGGGGAACCATGTTTTTAAGCTTTGCAAATGCCCTGTAGGAGAAAATGGAACAACTGTCTTACCTCAGAGATTGACATTATTGAGATGGAGCATCATTCTCTTTGGGTTCAGCACCTGGGATTTCATTGATTTCAAGTACAAGGGACCAATATTGGCTGAACGTCCTCTGTTTTTGAGACTCCATCTTCTCCATATACCCTTCAGTGAGGGCTTAGGGAAGCGCCCTGGGCATCCTCACATGATGAAATTGTGTGGGTTCTAATTCTGGGAGCCCTGCCTAGTAGGTGACCTAATTCTCTTTCCCCCACCCCAGCTCTACGAGAGTGCCCTGACCGAAAACCAAAAGCTGAAAACCAAACTTCAGGAGGCCCAGCTAGAGCTAGCAGATGTAAAATCCAAGCTTGAAAAGATGGCCCAGGTAAGGAGGAAGAAGAAAAAAAGATGGGGCGTGGGAGGATACGAGGAAACAAACTAAACTAGGGATCCAAGGGACGGGAAGTAAAAATCAAGATTGGCCCTTCTCAGAAACAGGGTGCTAAGAAGTCTCATAGATTCTAATTTGATTTTAGGGTTCAGTCAGCATTTAGCTTAAATTTGAAAAGTAATAGTTCGGTGAACAATTCCTGATGACCTGAGTGCTAGAGCATGGATTACCTACTTTTTGTGTTAGTAGAAAAGTATAAACTAGGGGTACAAGATTTGTCCTATACAATGTTTCTTGTCTTACTCATCATCTCTCAGTTCAGTTTATCTACATATCACCCCTAGCAAGGGATAAGAAAACCTTCTCAAACCTAGTGCAGAGAGGTAGCAAATTAGACCTACAGAAATCAGTGGTGTGCTTAGGTCTTATAATAAATCGAGGACAAGGTTTGAACACAGGATTGCGTCCCAAAACTAAGATTCTTCTGTTGCATATGTGACCTCCCCAAGCCTCCAGTGTTTTTCAGCCTAGGAATGAAGAACATCAGCAACAGAAAGACCAGATAAAGCATTTCCTCTTCCTGCCAGGCCTTATTTAATTAGGTGACACTTTAGCAGGAGCTGGAGGTAATAGCCTCACCCCAGTGCAACAAACTCTGCAGCTGAAAGCTAAAGCAAGTGCTGTCTAAGATTATTGCTGAGTTAACAGGAAGCCTATTGAGTTATTGCTCTCCCGGAGTGCCTGGGGAATAAGAATTTTAAAAGCTGAGCCGAGGTAAAAATGATTCTTTACTGGGAGGACATAAATGAAAACCAGAGGTGGCTGGCAGTTCCACCCATACATGTGATAGAATCCCAGAGCACAGACTGAAATGCTAAGATTGAACATCACTGAGGTGTGGGGGCTGGGGGGGCTAAGTACCCTCTTAACATCTTGTTGCAACTTCTCTGGCCTGAAATGAGCAAGGGGTTCCCAACACTGGGAAAACAGCAGGGAAGACCTGGGCAGGATCCCAGCAGGACCGCCGGAACACCCAGACTTTCCAGAAAAGGGCTTGATCTGGCACAAAGTGGATGGCCTGTCATGTGAACTTCCTGTCAGTGTGGAAGAAGCACCCCTCCTGCTCTGTTGGAAGAGATGAACACGGCTCCTGTACTGGCGGTTTCTAAGACCTGTTACAACCGAGATGACAACTGGGCGGCTTAAAGTGATTTAATGAAGCAAGAAGAGTGGGCCTCTTAATCGAAAAGAAAAAAAAAAAAATGCAAAGTATAACCCGGCCCTAAGGAGGGGGATGAGCTAAATAACCTCTTTAACCCCTGAACACTGAGCCAGACAAAAGGTCTTGGTCACAGTAGACCCTCAGAAGCTATCTGAGGCTAATATTTGTTCTGAGTAGTGCCATGAGTTGGCAGTGGTTAACAAATACAGATCTTATGCTGCCTTTCATTGGGTATTGTTAGGGCTATTTTACAGAAAAGTTGGGAGCAGTGATGTGAGGAACCCAGAGGATCCAGGTTCACCTGTTCCCCACTCTCTCCTCAGCAGAATCTTTTAATAGCATATCTCTTGACCATTGCAGGTTCTCAGCTTTTCCATCAGCCCATACTTTTCTCCCAAACTGCTGGCATTGATGTGTTCAAAAGGGCATTGAAGGGCCTCCCCGGTGGCGCAGCGGTAGAGCGCTGGGTTGCGCAGCAGCTGCCCGCGGCCTCTGCGGCTCTGGTTCGATCCCCGGCTGCTCCCCGGCCACCGGAGGAGGGTCCCACATGGCGCGCAGACCTCTCCTGCCGCCCGCTGCTCCCCTCAGCAGTGTGCTTCGGTCCCTCTGCCTGCTCTGCTCCCCGCTCTGGCTCTGGTGAATTCTCTCACCCTCCCGCGCTTCTGACTGTACCCAGTGCATGTATAAACAAAACAAACAAACAAATAAATAAATAAAAACATGCCTCTAAAAAAAAAAAGGGCATTGAAAACAAAATCAGCCTTTCCCCTCACTAAGAGCATTTGATTCCTAACTGACTGCTTTGCTGGGTGTGTCGGAATATACTTAGTTTTGCCAAATACGAGTTATTAAAATTCAGAAGAAAGAGTGGTCTCTGATATTTACCAAAAATGGAGTTGTTTGGGAGAACAGTGGAGGGAGGAGGGCCTGTTGGCCTCACATTTATATGGAGACATTTACCACATGGACACACAGAATACATAATGTTTTTATATGAGCTCCACCCCGCCTTCAAGGGGCTAAGCTTTTCCTCTTTCACTAGTTCTTTGCAGGTGTGATCTTCTGAAGTCCACTTTGTATAAGTGAAACTAGGGAAGTCATCGCAGTGGTCACATCTCTCAGGCTTACGAAAGACTTAAAATGAAATAGACAAACTACAGGACCTACTTTGCCTTTTTCCATTTGCTTCATAGGAGATGCACTATAAAGGCAGATGGCATGGCCGTGACCTTCAGATCAGCATGTCAAATCCCAGGATTGGAGCCAGAAAGAATAGTTTTTCTGTTTCTTCTGGCTATTCCTTAATTAGGGAAGGGTGGAGAACCTCTACAAGAAGACCAGCATCACTTCTGTATTCAGTGAATGTTGAACATGGTACTAAGCAAAACAGAAGTAATTGCCTTTCTATTAAAGTAAGAAACTCTGCCCGGTTCTGTAATGCTAGAGGGTTTGTTTCTAAGTCCCTGTTAAGAGTCATTATCTGAGGTTATTCTACTTTTCAGCTGTGATGGCTAAAATTCTTAGCCCCTGTGCAAAATTTATATTGAAAGTCAAAAAGTTCTATTCAAATGAAATCTCACCTAGAAGCCCAATATATTAAACAGGTAAATGTGGAACTGTTGTGTTACTCTCAGGGCCGCTCCTGTGAATGGGCTCCTAAGAACCCCTGTAGGCCAAGCAGCTCGATCCCTAACATGAAAGAGTGGAAAGAGGGGTTTCTCATGAGTTCCTAGCCTTCTAAAGAAGAAAGCCACACTTCACGCCCTCTAGGCTGTGAGATTGCTCACCAAAAAAAAAAAAAAAGCGTTCAACACAAGGCATCAGTTAGCAGGCTCCGAGACCTGACAGTGTTGGCGTGTGCATTGTAAGTGATGTTGTGGTATTTGTGACTGTTTCTAATTCCAGGGAACACTACCACTGCTTTCCCCTCCCCAGTGGGAATCCTACAAATTCAAAGAGGTGATAATATTAGGCTTAGAAATCTACCAGAATCTGCAGTTAAGGGCGCGTGCTGCAGTGACAGTCCAAAGCCCTCACATCTATTTCTGGACACCCACTGTCGAGTTGAACGAGACTGGACTCTGCTGGTCCAGTGGTGACTTAAGTAACAACTGTTTTCCTTTCATTTGCACAAGCAGAAGCAAGAGAAGACCTCTGACCGCTCATCAGCGCTGGAAATGGAGAAGCGGGTAGGCGTGCATCTCTTTCCCTCCGTTCAGCTTTTCTTTCTGAGCTTCTCTAACTTTGTTGTTCGTGCCAACGGAAAAAGTTCATCTTAGGAAGGCGGGAGCTCTGCCACATTCCACTCCCAGCTTGACGAGAAATTCTTTTGGCCTGACTCTGAGCAGCATTTTGATTGCCAGTCCTTTTGGCTTCCTCGGGTGGTCAGTACTTTTCAGCATTCAGTCTCAGGGTGGGAGGGCCCTTGAAAGGCCATCCCCCACGTTGTTCTGCTGCAGGCAGAACTGCACATACACACACACACACACAGACACACACACATACATTGTGTTTTGGTGTACTGTAAATCATCACACACACAAACCCAGATCCAAGGTCTCTTTCCCCTTCCCATGGCTTTGGGCAGAAAGGATGCTTTCAGCAGCAGGACCCTCTGCCACTGACTGAGATCTTATGAAATCCGAGCTGACAGCAAATCACTCACTCAGACTAAGGGTAGGATTTCTGGTTCAATTGCTGGCCTCTTCCCGACTGCGTTCAGAATATTTTTCTGGGGTTTGACATTCTTGGATTGGGAGCATTCACGTGAACCCTAGCTTTGATTTGACCCTAAGGATATGTTCCCATTTCTCCTGCTATTATCTACCTAGTTTGGAAAGCAGCTACATTTTATATTTTATTCCCCTTAACCTATCACAAAACCTCCTTCGTATCTCACTTAATCAAGGAATCTTTACTGGGTTCAGGCCAAATCAGGAGTTGTTGTTTGTTGGGAGTGAAAAATGGATGCGGGGGGCGGGGGCAGTGATGTCTGCTTCCCCTACCAACCACCTACTCCCAGCATGAGAGAAGCGACACCTAGGAATCTGGGGGGACTGTGACTGAAGCTAATGATGCCCTTTGTAGTAAAAGAGAGCCACTGTCCTGGTCACTTGCAATCATTTGAAATTCCATGAAATCTTCAACTTCACAGAGTAGCTCAGAGTGCCCTGGTCTTTCTTTGTTTGCCCATTGGCAAGTTGCTTCCTCAATATCTTCTAATTGTCTGATAGATTTAGATCACATGATTTTTCAGTGCAGGTGCTCTAACCCTGGCAGCATCAGATCAGAGAGCCCAAGTCTCCTGGGAAGGGTTTGTCTGAGTTGGGAAGCTGCTGGTCTCCTGGCAGCTGGGCGGCAGCACTGACTCCCTGCTAAATCCACGGGGTGTTCAGCAGTCTCCTTGTTCTTAAACAGGAGCGGCGAGCTCTGGAACGGAAAATGTCAGAGATGGAGGAAGAGATGAAGGTATGGAAAGATTTCCTTTCTCTGTGTGTACCTGTCCTCCAAATGCCTGCCAGGACTGGCTGATGAGCACAGGTCTGCCTCTTCCAAATCTCACTGCACCCGCAGTGCCCTCAAGAAGAGCTGATATGTGATGAGGAGTGAATGCTCTTCTCAGCCATCTCAGAGGCGCCCCCAGTTCATAGAACACCGACCTAAAGCCCTTTGTGTTTAAGAGCACAACTCTGAGTTGAAGCTGAAGTTGAAGTTCTATGGTTTTCTAAACAATTGCTTCATCCTCAAGGGAATGGATGAAAAGGCTAAAATGTCTTCCAGCTCATGGCCTCACAGCTGGGGCCCAGGGGAAATAGCATGGCCACAGGCTTTCTTGCCTGGTGTCTCTCCCTGTCCCAGTCCTTTGCTGATAGGAACACAGTTTAAGTCATTTTTCAGAATAAAGATTTGTTCACATACTGATTTCCTGCCCCAGTCTAGTTCCCCTGAATACTCAGTGATGCGTGGCAGGCTCTCCCTCTAGTCCAGCCTTGTGCCCTGTTTGCACTTCATCACTCCCTCACTATGACTGCCTATGTCCGTCACTTCCTCTAGCACGTGAATGGACAGAGGCCATCCTAGGCATTTTCAAGTGCTAAGAACTGACTGATACATAGATAGTTTCCAGGTGTGGAGAGTACGTGGGGCTTGCTCAGGGAGCCGCCTAGATACGGCTGCAGAGCATCCAACCCCACGGGGCATGATGCCACAGGCCCACACTCATGCTTAGCACTCTCTTAGCTTTTCTCCCTCCTAAGGATCTTATTTTACTAGATGTATGGTACAGGGCACTCATTGGTGCTCATTAATCTGGGAACCAGAACCCCTGGGAAGTGTGAGGCAGAACCCCAGATCTCTCTCTGTGAGCCCCGCTCATATGCAGTTGGAACACTTTGGGAGACATGTTTAACATTCCAGTTACCTAAAATGGTTGGTTATTTACTGGGGGAAAAAAAAGCTCCAGGATCTGAGAGGGTCAAAGTTTATATAAGTATATAAGATCCAGCACCCATGACCCTATTATATCATTCCAGAATGAAGGAGAAATGCCAAGTGCCGCCTATTCATTCCCCACTCCCCATCCCAAGACTGTATCTGATCCTACAGAATTTTAAGTAATAACTACATATGTCTCAAACATTATCTATTTCAAGTTGATTCAGAACAGCAAGACGTAGAGATTACAAATGGTTGATTCTCCTGATAGAAACAGTCTGACCTAACGCCATTAGTTTCTCCATCAAACCACCCTCACCAGCTACCACCAGTTTTCTCTCCCATTTAGAGCAGTGTGTTAGTAGAGCTAAAGAGTTCTTGATGAATGACTAGGCATGGCTCGTGGTTGCATGGGGGGCTCCTTCATTTAGGAAACCCCTTGAGTTATACCATCTGTACTCTGCTGTTAGGCAGCTGTCAGAGATGCTTGTTAAGAAATGGCCTGAAGGCTAACAGGAGCATGTAAATGAGGCCAGAGCTGGTCTTCTAATGACACTGGAGTTGGTCCTGCTAATGAGGACCCAGGAGCCCATGCCACCCCAGTCATGGAATCTGTGTCATGTGCACAAAGGCACACAGGCAAAGACACAGAAAGTGCCCAAAAGTGGAACCTTGAGAGCCTTCCTTATTTCTATTACAGTTCTAATCTGGCTGGTGTGGGGGCTCCTGCAGTGGGAGCCTACCTATCTCTCTATTTTCTTGCCCTACCAGACTCTGATTTCCAGGACCTAAACTAAGCCCAGAGTTCTTCTCTTTCCTCTGTGGAGACTATGATACATGAAAGTGTTTGCTCTCCCCAGTCCTAAGTCACTTGCCAAGCAACTTCAAATTCAGTCATTTAAATTAGCAGGTGGGGCCTCCCCGGTGGCGCAGCGGTTGAGCGCTGGGTTGCGAAGCTGCCTGCAGCCTCTGCAGCCGGTTCGATCCCCGGCTGCTCCCCGGCCACTGGAGGAGGGTCCCACATGGCGCGCAGACCTCTCCTGCCGCCCGCCGCTCCCCTCAGCAGTGTACTTCGGTCCTTCTGCCTGTTCTCTCCCCGCTCTGGCTCTGGTGAATTCTCTCACCCTCCCGCACTTCTGACTGTACCCAGTGCATGTATAAATAAACAAACAAACAAACAAATAAATAAAACATGCCTCTATAAAAAAAAAATTAAAAAAAAAATAAAATAAAATAAAATAAAATAAAAAATAAATAAATTAGCAGGTGGTTAGGCCCCAAACAGAGAGGTACAATGATTTGAAATGGATTTTTGTTGTTATTGAAAATTCTGTCCATTCGGTCAGTTGCTATTACTTGACATTGTCAAACACAGCCAAATGGACAAGAAATACCTGTAAACTCTAAAGCCCCTGAATACCTTTTGCTCAAATCAAAGCCTAGGTGTGCCAACACTAGGCTTGCAAATCTTCTATCTCCCCCTAGAGGACTAAGAGGGAGGAACATCAGGACCTCCACAGTCAACGCCAACGTTAAGGTGGAGGCAAAAACGTCAGCCATAGACTTGGTGTGACTGGCCCAAAAGGAGTCTGAGAAAATACTTGGGTAGCTCTCAAGTTCTTCATCCAGACTGCAGTTTATGGTGACCAGCATCTTGATAGTGATCAGTGTCCGAGATCTCTGTGCTCTGGGTAACCAGCCAGTGACACAGGTAACTGACTATCCTGTCTAACCTGGGACCCAGGAGAGCCGAGGGCCAGTTGGATCCCATGTTTATTACATAGTCTTGTATAAATGCACAAATATTTTTGGAGGGATCAGTGGGGGAGCAGATAGGGGTTTACCTAGCGAACCCTGAATATACCATAGGCGCTCAGCAATAGGAAGTGACTTCAGTGCCTGTTTTTCTGACTCTGGAAAAAAAGTGCAAAGACCATGTGAAATGGAAACCAAGAGATGGGCTTAGACACGTGGGGCTGTGTGGTTGTGACATAGTTTGTGTCTTTCTTACCTTTCGGAAAGGTAAGTATTTATAAATTCTCCCAGGAGAAGCCCCACTTACTGCTGGCTTAGAGTAAGACTACATGACAGCCTCTTACAGGGGTGCATGGCAGCGTGAGCTGTGCCAGGCCTGCACTTGGTCTTGGGATGTGCCTCCGTCAGACCTGATGATGTTTCTACTGCATCCTCCACCCAGCATCAGCCCCTTTCCAGACCTTCTCCCCTTCCTGTCCCGGGTCCTTGCATGAAGAGGGGCCAAGGAGCCAATCCCCTTTTAGATTGGTCTCAGACTCTTTATTTTCCTTACTCTGGAAATGTCACTAGCTGATCCTACCCCTTAGCCCAGCCCTCGTGCACCCTGCTCTATGCCCTGCTCTCCTCTCCATCTCCTCACCATGCCTTGTTTTCAGTGCTGCTTCCTCTAGAACATTCCACCAGATTGTTTTATGCCTCTCTCCCTCATGCAGATAACTTCCAAATTCTCCCACCTCGATCTGCTAATACATGTTAGACTGAGGCATTTTTAAAGTTGATGTCTTTAAGATTCTTCCCTAGGAAGCAAGACCACTTCATGTAATGACAGATTGTGCTGAAAGCTTTGACCCAATATCAACACCAAGGAAGGATGAGAGCCAGGGACTTTCTTTCAGTTCTTCAATTTGGTCCCCTCCTGTCTCTTTAAATATCTCCTTATACTGCCCCAGGACCCCCCCTCCTCTGTCTTCTCGTGGCCAAGCTGCGAGCTGCCGCAGTGCTGAAGAGGCCTGCCTAGGCATCCCCTCAGGGGCTGTGTGGAGCTTTTGGCCGCCCTGACTTTTTTCCAAGGTGGTCGTCCTCCGTCTTTGGGACAAGAGATATTCAGCAGTTTGTATCTGCTTGTTTTTCCTTTTCACTGTCTCCCCCCGTCATGCTACCTTTCATTTTCTTGCTGCCATACACCCAAACAACTATAACTCCACTAACCTTTCATTTCTATCCTCACTCCATGTGGGTATGAGAGGCTTTTCTCTGGCACCTGGAGGCCTTTTTTGTAGTTACTGTTACCCATAGGATTTTCCAGCTTCACCTCGGAAGCACCAATTCCATGACGAAATCATTCCCCTCCTCAAAAGAGCTGATGTGTTCTCAGTTTCGGGGACAGTGCCCACAACCGCTTAGGAAACATGAGTCACAGAGTAAGCAGACTATGATAGAATGCCATTTTTTGAAGTCTTTAGATCCTGAGGTTTTAGAAGGGTTATCTGTGGCCTGTTATTCTATTCCGTGGACGATACTAACAAACAGTAAGAACTGGACTGGTAGATTGGGCCAACCAATTCCCTTATTATTGGTCATTCATGATTTCCCCAGCTTGTGCACAGTTATAACTTCCAGAGCACGAGTCTGTATATGAGCACTTTTAAAGTGGCACCCAACCTATTCACTAACTGGGACAGAGAGCACAGTTAGCTGTGAATTTAGTGCCGCTGATCACATGGTAATCACACGGCAGGCCAAGGCAGGCTAGCGGTTCTTGGGCCCTGGGACAAGCTCTAGAGGCAGAGGAAAGCTGACTGGGTTAAGAAGCTTCGCACAAAGTAGGGTAGAAGACCAGATTGCTGCCAGCTTCTTATTTTGGTACATGTGATTTCACCATTCTGAACAGTACATGCCTTATACAGAAGATACTTAAACAACAGGCCTCCCCTTTCATTTTCCTAAAAATAAAAAATAAGTGAGGTAAGAGAAGGACCCAGATAGAAAACTAGCAGGAGTAGCCGGCCAAGTATGGGGGTGGGGAGGGACAGTCAGGGGAGGAGAGAGAGAAAGGGGCTGCAGCTGGATTCAGGAATATACCAAATCCTCAGGACAGCCCCAGTGATGAGGAAGAGCCCCTGCGGCCGTGGCCCAGCCATGGTGATCAGCTCAGAAGGCCCAAAGCCGCAAGTTTGGCTGTCATTCTCAAAAACAATCCAGATGTGCTTTCTGGGAGCCTGGTAGTTCTGTGCATGTGGCTGACCTTCAGCGTAGTTAGGCTCTTGCCCAGCATCATA